TTTTTAAATTAATAAGATGAATATTTGGAATAATTTTTTTTAGTCAGAACACAACGTTTCAAGTTACTGTTGTATGTTGTACTGTATTGTAAAACGCTCAGAGCCTGTGTACTTTATTCGGGGTTGAGCACTATATAAATGTCATTTATTATTATTATTATTATTAAGAAATTGGCATTTTTCCGCAGGTTTTGAAATTTTTATCGAGTTTTTGTTCTTTGGTTCAACACCTTTCATGCCATTTAAAGAGCACATTTCTGTGTGGACTTTACTGAAAAACGTTGATTAAAGGCAGAAAAAATGTAAATTTTCAGTTTCCCTCGACTCTCAATCTAAAGAAATAACTCGCCTGACCCTCACCTCCTTCAATCACACATATCTCGACTTCTATTCAACATAGATGGATATCAATTTCACCCAAAACAAGAAAAATGGACAGGCCTTAAGATGATACCATCAACTCCGTTTGCCCCAAAATTGATGAGAGTCTGATTCCACCGCGTCGTGGAATCTATATGTGTGCCACAACGTGGTGGAATCGGGCGCTCCTCAATTTTGGGGCTTGTGGAGTTATTGATATCTTACCTTAAGCTTGTTCAGTTGTTTTGCATTTGGCGGAAAAAAATACCCCTCTATCTCGAATTGAAGTGGAGATATTTACAATTGAAGGTGGTGGGGTCGCCAGGTATGAGAGGTGAAACTAGCGAGAAAACGGCCACCAAAGTTTGGTAACCTCCGAGGCTTGAGAGTCCTTGGAAACTGGAAATTTACTTTTTTTGTGCCTTTGATGAACGTTTTTCTGTAACATTTACTCAGAAATACATTTTTAAAAGGACGTAAAAGGTGTTGAGCCAGAAATAGAAGACTTGGAAAAACTTAACCAACACCCAGAAAAATGCCGTTTTCTTTGATTTCATTGTTTTGTTGAGCGCCTGGTTTCACCGCACTGCCTCACAAATATAGCCTGTAGACTGCTCAGTGTAGGTCTCCATGGTTCACCACACTGCCTCACAAATATAGCCTGTAGACTGCTCAGTGTAGGTCTCCATGGTTCACCACACTGCCTCACAAATATAGCCTGTAGACTGCTCAGTGTAGGTCTCCA